CATGACAGACAACATGTAATAAGAGAACTTTTAAGCAACCTGTCATGTATCTCTAATACTCAGATCCCCAGCCTACCATGGAAGGTTGCTGGGGACACACTCTCAGCCAGACCTACCTCACAAGGGTGTTGCAAGGATAAAATGGAAGACAGGAGAACAATGCAGCTTTGGGTCCCCAGTAGGGAGAAAAGCTGGGTATGGTATTTGTTATAAATATAATTTTAATAATATTTTAAAAATTATATCATTTGTCATATAGCAAAGTAGCCTTTGCAAAGAGCTATTAGATACTCCACCAGCACAATACTGCTTGACAACCTAGTGCCTGAACTGGGAGCTGTAACTTCTGTTCCACATGGATAACCACTAAAACAGATTAATGTTCCATTGCCATGCAAGTAAAGGGTGGAGGGGGGGGGAAGCATTCTTTTACTACTTTGTTCAATCATGGGGAAATATTAACTTCCCCCCTTTCTGTTCATAATATTAACAAAGGTTTGCTACTATACTAATCTGAAGTACATTCTGTCACCAAGCAGAATAGGGATGAGAAAGTCTTGAGACCAAGAAGTGAAAATGGGGGTGGGGGGCACAGAAAAATCAGGTGGAGGAAGATAGAAATGAATGAGAAAAGTATGTAAAAGAGGGAGAGAAATTAAGGAAAAGAGAGGAAAAGGTTGTTTTATCTTGCTGAAACACCTTAACTACTGCTTTGCAAGATGTGGCTGAGCTGGGGGCAAGGAAAGGAAGAGAGAAACGCTAGATTATTACAGAAAATGACTTTGGTTATCAGGCTGCAGGCCAACAGTTAGTGTAGCAGCCATCAGCCAGGGTTGCTTGTCTTGCTCTATCGCTGGATTAATTGGTGGGTTTAGCATGATCTGCTAGATAAGTTTGTTTCAGTCTTGGAGAACGGGAAGTCTAGCTAATAGCAGAGTGCCTTTTACTGTGCTCAGACTTCCCTGTGCTCCAGGTGGCTACAACCAGAACTGCATTTAAAATAAATGGAAAGACATTCAGTTGGAATCCGCATTAGCTGGCTTCAAGGGCCCTCTAGCTGACTTGGACCCCCCAAATTTTGTCTCCCAATTCCCCTATGTCAGCTGCCCTGGTGGGGGGCACAAAGACTTCTGAAGTACATGTCATTTCCCTTTGTATCCCTCTCCAATTATTTCCTTTCTCCAACCCTGGCAGCCTCCATAGCATCTCCCATTTTCCTGCTTTCTTCTCTTTCCCATCTACCAGCCAACCTATCTTTATATGCCTTCCTGTCTTCAGTTTTCCCTTCTTTCATACCCCTGGCAGTCTCTTCCTGGGAGAATCTGTCCAGGTAGCAAAATTCATGCCATAGTAAGTCTCTCTGATGAGTTGTCTGGTGGCCACTACTGGGACTGGCTAAATTGTGCAGAGGCTGCCACTGGACCTAGATGAGTTTCATGGCATCAAATCATCTGGTAGCTACTACTGGACCTCAGTGAGTTGCCCAAATGAATCATGCAATGGTTACTTTTGCATAGTAGCAAGTCATATTGCAATAAGATAACCAATAAGTGAATATTGGGCCAGGAAGAGGAAGGTTAAGCAGCAAGATCTAAATACACATAGCAGCAAGTCAACAGGTAGAACACCATGCGGTTGCTGTCAGGCCTGGCCCCATGAGTCCTCTCTCATGGTTATGGTGAAGGGGATCAGGGTAGTCCAGGAGGCCAAAACATCCTTGGAGAGCCCTGCTATGGCAATCTTGCTCTCTTCCCTCCCTCACACATAGGATTTTCTGTTCTGTCTTCCTTCTTGCTGAGCAGCCCCTCTATCTATTTTCTTCTTATTTGTTTGTCTAAGGCCATCCCACCCATTTGCTTCTGTCTGTCTCTGTCTATCTATCTGTCTGTTGATCGATCGATCGATGGATGCTGGCCCAGCGTCTGTCTGTCGATCGATCGATCGATCGATCGATGGATGCTGGCCCAGCCCAGGGAACTGAGGGAAGAGACAAAAAACACCTTCTTATAGTTTGCTTTTAAAATGGCACAGAAGAGGCTTTTGAAAATCCAAAATAAACAACATAGTTTGCTTTGAAAATCCAAAATAAACAAAATGCTTTATTTAACTTGGAGGATAAAAGGTCAGGTAGAATCAGGTGTAGGATGTATGAGGTGATCCAATAATAAAACTGAGGTGACTTTGTATTCACACAAATACTTTTCTTTACTAGAAGCTATTTCACTTTTCTGGCTTGAATGAGGATCCTCCTTGATCCACTCACTCTCTTAGCCTCCTTTCCAGTCCACAGTCAGTGCTTAACTGTCTCTTCTTCAACTGTCAGTTCCCAACTATCATTCCTTAACTGACTCTCAACAGAGTTCTGTTCAAACAGCCTGTCACTGAAAGGTTCTCAGACTCTGTTAGGCGTTAACCCTTGACAGTCCATCACACCTGCCCACTCCTTTCCACCATTTACTGAAAGAAACTAAGGCGTGAAGGCTGGCAACAGTCACTGAGATCTCAGAGAGCTTCCATTTAAAAAATGTGCAGGTGCTGCTTCTGTTATTTTTTGGGGGAAGTTAAGCCCCAGTGTACTTTTTGTTTGTTTTAGATTTTGCTGCAAACCTGGAGCTTTTCTTAGGTTTGTAGAATGATCTGTATGTTCATGGGTCCAGTCTCTGGATTTAAGTATCCACAGATTGAGAATTAGATGTATTCATAATAAAGCATTAATATATAATACATATTTTAATATAGTAGCAATAAAATCCTATAATTTATTGTAACTACCTTCTTTGTAACTACCTTCTTGTAACTACATTTGTCTTTCTGTTATTCTAAAACAGATGTTTAAAGGATTTGAAAAATTGAAAGATGTTCAATATGTCTACACACCTTTTGACTCTTCTCTCTGTGGTATAAAATTAGAAGCCAATAACAAGAAGCAATATCTCCTTACAGGTACAGTGCATTCAAGCAAAGGCACTGCATAATATATGTTCTAAACCATAGGTGGTAGGATGAAGTATTGGTGATTTTACAGATGCTACACTTAAATCTTTTAAAATGGTTTAATTAATGCAGCTCAAGTATACATAAAAGCTTGGACAGCAATATTTTACATAGCTTAGCACACTTATGTAACACCAATGAAATTTCTAATAAAATTATAACTTTTTTGGAAGATGTGTTAATTTAAAATGCTAACTGCATTTTCAAATCGTGTGCATGGTGACTCCATAGTCTAGCATTTTCCTTCAGCATAACTTGTAGATTTTATCCTAAAGTTAAGTGAAACTATCATTCCTTTAATGGACATGAACTGCATCTCTGGTATTAAGAATTAAGTACAGTATTTTGTTGTTTTTGCAGGGCAAATTTTAAATGATGGCAAAGTCCTCATCCATTTGTGCAATTACATTGAACCATGGGATGACCTGACACTTTCTCAAAAGAAAAGTCTAAATCAGAGATACCAAATGGGCTGTGGCTGTAAAGTAAGTATATAAAATCTACTGAGGTGCAGGGGTCTTTTCGTAGAAAAAGAGCTGCAGGAGCCCCCCCTTTTGCTTCCCCTTCTTGTGTCATATGCTAATGAGATGTTATGCTAATAGCCTAGTAGCTCATTAGTATACATTAGGAAAGGGGGAAAGAAAGAGAAGAAAAGAAGGAAGGAAAGAGGGAAGGAAAAGAAAGAGGGAAGGAAAGAAAGA